CGGCAGTGGAAGTTGATTAGCTTCAAACACAGCCATTGCTTGCTGGTGGAGCTTCGTCACCCCTCTGGCTGTCTTGGGGGTTTGCAGTATTGGTCACATTGTGTGCAATGGGTGAAGGACAAGACCTTATTAGGAGAGTCTCCCAGGAAGGAGGGGAAGGCAAACAACATTCCTTTATAATGATGAATTTGTTTTATTTCGCTTTGAGTATGTTCATTACAAGAGAATTGTGGAGTGACTTTTTGCATTACTTTGAATATATATTTAAAAAAAATAACAAAAAGGGGCCTAGTGCCATTCCCACCGGGATTTCTTTTATTTGTCTGAAAATGATACAACGTTCAGAAATGGTCATAAGCATCACTGACACGGAATGGGCTAGCACAGAACAGCTTCCTCTATTATCTATAACCATATACATCTCTATTTGTTGACTGGCAGCTACCCCTTCTTCGCTGGAAGGCTCTCCAATTCATCGTCCAGGACAGCAGGAGCTTGGGCCCATGCCCCAGCCTGCAGTTTCTATTGGTTCTGATGGAACAAGGTCCTAGCCATTGTGGTTATCCCGTGATTATTAATCTGAGAGCTACTTCCCCATCATCCCAGCTAACCCCTTGCCCCACGTCCCTCATTTTTCTGTCTTGTACTCTGAGCTGTGGATACACTAGACTGCCTCTGCCTCCCCCTGGTCCTTTCTAAGTGACTTTCTTTCTAGAACAAGCTTGCCTCATCTGTCCCCTCTTACTTGGGTCACTTGACTCATCTCTGTCTTCCTGCTCCCCTCCAGCACTGCTATTCTCAGTGAGAAGCAACTTCAGAGGGAAGGCTGCCTCCTGGCTGAAAGAGGGGAAAAGAGGCATAGTCTGAATGTTTGGAATTCCAGAAGTCGCGCAGTACCAGGTAAGGCCACTTCGCTATCTCTGCTGGCAGGATGTGGCCAAGAGAGGAAGAGAGAGTGATAGAAATAGAAAGGGCAGAGCAAGATAACCGGAGGTGTGCGTGAAGCCTCTGGGTCAGTCCCCTGACCGTCCATCCAAATTCCTCGACCCCGTGACCCCAGGGGCTCTGGCTGCAGACAAATGAGTCTCTGGTCTGTCATGTAGTTGCAGCCAGCCATAGACAAGGGGCACAGAGTCAGTTACTATCCCAGACCTCTGGAAGAAGAAATAAAAGAAGTGAGTTAAAGAGGCAAGCAGGAGAGCAAATTTATCCAAAAATACTTAGATTTGGTTTGTAGTCATTTATTTTTAATTGCACCTTTTCCTTTATGTTAAGGGAGTACACGTGATACCACAGGGTGTTTATGGAAGGCAGAGGACACCTCGCTGCAATCAGTGCTCGCCTTCCACCGTATAGGTATTGGGGATTGAACTCACGTCTTCAGGCTTGGTGGCAAGCACCTTTACCTGCTGAACTGTCTTGCTGGTCCCCAAGAAATGATTTAAAACAGTAAGTTTATCAGCACTTGAAAAGGCTTTTTGTTATTGTTTTTATTGACCCTGACAACATATCTGACCAAGGCAACTTTGAGAAGGAGGACTTTATTCAGCCTCATGTGCCAATGTTCTGTCTTCCTCTCCTCTCTGCTTATAGTCCAGAGCCCCAGCCAACGGGACATGGCACATACGTGCGGTCATCCAGGTTGGGTTTTCCTACCTTAATCAAACCCCTCACAGACACACTGAAGGGGTGTCTGCTAGGTGAGTCTTAATTCCGTCAGGCAGACAAGCTCAACCTTCGACCCATGCCCCCTTGTTTGCCGAGCACAAGCCTGTCTTGACTTTACAGCGTATGTAAGCTTCCAAGCAAGACGATGAAAAGAAGAACTTCACAGAACTGAGAGGGAACCTAGTGACTCAGCGGGAGGCTGAAATGAGAGGCTTGTGTGTCTGCTTTCTTTCCACCTTGAAATGCTAGCAGCTAACCACCGTTTCCATCCCTGCTGGGTTACAGCCCCTGAAGTACCCACTCGTGCATGTTCAGAATTGGGAATTGTGGCCTCAAGATACATCTACGGCCACACAGTAAACACTTGGTGGGAAAGGGGGAACTTACTACTTTAGTATAAATTTTTAAAGGGCTCTTATGCAAAGATCTCAACTTATAACAATGGGGGTTTGTTTTAGAGATATGTTTTTACTTATGTGGATGCTGGTATGAGTGGTTGCCATGTGTGTGCAGAGCCCACAGAGGCCAGAAGAGGGTGTCAAATCCCCTGGAGCCGGAGTCACACACAGGTGGTTTGGGACCTGCCTAATATGGGTGCTGGAAACCGAGCTCTAGCAGCAAGCGCTCTCTTTTACCTGTTGAACCATCTCCTCAGCTCATTGACTAATTTTGGCTGAATAAAGAGAACCTTCTGTGACAAAAGCAAAATGCTTTCAGAACACTAAAAACTTTTTTTTTTCTTCTTTGGTGTTTTGAGACAGGGTTTCTCTGTGTATCTGTAGAGCCTGTCCTGGAACTCTGTCTGTAGGAGAGGCTGACCTCAAACTCACAGAGATCCACCTGCCTCTGCCTCCCGAGGGCTGGGATTAAAGGTGTGTGCTGCCACCACCTGGATGAAATTTTTTTAAAAAGATTTATTTATTTATTATGTATACAGTGTTCTGTTTGCGTGTATGCCTGCATGCCAGAAGAGACCACCAGATCTCATTGTAGATGACTGTGAGCCGTCATGTGGTTGCCGGGAAATGAACTCGGGGCCTCTGGAAGAGCAGGCAGTGCTCTTAACCTCTAAACTTTTTAAGTGGATCAGGATCAATCCCCAAGAGTCAGCCTAGGTCAAGTGAGTCTGGTCACTAACAATGCACTTTGGTTATGTGACATGTTAACATCAGAGGGGGAGGAAGGAGAAGGGGGAGGGGTAGGAGGATATTATTTATTCTCCTTTTTATCTTTGCAGCTTTAAGCCCAACATTTCTTCAAAAGTAAAGCCATAAAGAAACCCATGTCCTTTCCTCCCGTGCTGTTCCTGCCATGTCCTGTTTAGTAAATAGCCTTTGTCCTTTAAGAATTCTTTATTTCTGTTGGTGCTGGGGATAGACCCAGGGTTCATGCATGCCAGGTAGACATTCTGCCCTCCACTACACCCCACGCCATGCTTGCATTCTTTGTTTTAAGACAGTATCTCACTATGCTGCCCAGGCTGGATTCGAACTTTCAATATCCCTGCTTTAGCCTCTTGGTAACTGGGATTATAGGCTTGCACTACTAAGCTTGGCTATGTTGTCTTTGTTGTTTGAAACATAATTTCATGCATCTCGGGTTAGCTGCAAACTGGACAGGAAGTTGAGGATGACCTTGAGTCCTGCCCCACCCCCATGTCCTGCAGCCACCACTGGAATATTGGGACTGCGGGTGTGGGTGATCACCTGCTAATCAGTTTTAAATGGATGAAATGAGTTAGAGTCTGAACATCTAGTTGATTCACTGGATCTGGACCAGGATTCTTCGAGCCACACTGCACACCAGGTGCCTCTCATCAGAATGTGTTTGTTTGAACCAGTTGGACTCAGTCAGTCCCAGCTGTACCCAGGTGCCAGGCACTCAAAATTGGTTCTCTTCTTTGGCCTCATCTCTTGTGCTTCCCAGCTCTCCCCACCCCTTGGAGGGTATCTTTCCTGCCGCCCCCCCCCTTTTTTTTTCTTTTCCTGTTCCCACAAAGCATACCACACCTACGCCTGAGAAGCCTGGCTCTAAGGTAGAGTGTCTGCATTCTGCCACCACCCACCTTAGCACACAGGTTACACCTGCTCTTTCCCAAACACCCCCTGCAGGCAGGCTTTTGTGGCAGCCATAAGCAAACACGCTGATTCACATCGAGGGAGAGCGACTCCTGTGCCCGGATGCCTCTTCAATTGTTTAAGGTCATCCTGCCCTCTCTGGGAAACGAGGGACGTTTTCTCTTTCTTATTTCTCCCAACTGTAGACAAGTGGGTTGAATTTAAACATTGTGTTTGGACTCAAGAAATTGGCAGTGGGAGCAACAAGATGACTTAGCAGGCAAAAGCGCTTGCGGGCAAGTCCGAGGACCTTAGATCAAGAAGGCATGCTGAATTAGTTGTTCTGGTTCTCAGGGAGTTTCTTTCTTAGGGATGTCCTCTAACCCTGGAAGCCAGAAAGAAGGACTTCACTGAAAACCACCCTTAACCCCGTGGTTGCAACCAGAATGGCTGTTCCTCAATACTTAAGGATGTCCATAAACCTCCCACAAACTGACTTTCAGGCCCTGGTCCTCTCTGTCTTCCTCTTCGCTCTCCCATTGACAACCCTGACCATCCTGGGAGCCCTCTAAGTTCCTTGATCACCACTCTCCTGTCTCTAGCCAGCCCTCCAGCCTCTGTCCTGACCGTCCTCCCCTCTCCTGCCTCTTCTGATGGACGTCTCTTCTCGAGATTTCCAGGGGTCGGGCAGGATCACGGATTTAAAGAGCCCCTCATCCCCGGGGAGGTGGGGTGGGTCAGGGCCGGCTCTCCCCTATGCGGCCGCCAGGGGGCGGCAGGGGCGACTGGAGGTGACAGCGGGAGGCCGCGCGGGAGGGCAGGGCGCACGGACCGCGCTCTCCGCCCGCAGACTCCGCGCCTG